CTTAGATTTACAATTGATCTGAAACTAATTTTTGTGTATGATTTGAAGCAGGGCCCCAAATTCATTTCTTTCAATTGTATACCAATTGGCCCAGAATAATTTATTGAAAAAACGACTGTGTAGTGCCAACTTTGTTACAGTAAGTGCCAATAAATGTGTAGGTCTGTCTGGGGAATTCCTATTTGCTACAATGGTCTATGTCCCTATCTTTGCAGCAACACTTAATTACTGTAGCTTCGAATTCATGAAATCTAGTAGAGAAGTCTTCCAGCTTTGTTCTTCTAAAAGTTTTGGTTTAGCTATGATTGGTCTTTTGCATTTTCATATAATTTTTAAATAAGCATGTCAATTTCTAAAAGAAAAATACTTTCTGCAATTTTGTTTTGGGGTTACATTAAATCTAAAGATCAATTTGGGCAAAATAGATATCTCTACAATATTGTTTCAATTAATTATCATTATGTATCTTCCATTTATTTAGGTCTTCCATTTCTCACACGGTTTTTGAGTTTTCTATGGAAAGATCCTCTGTATATGTCATTACATTTACGTCTCAGGTTGTTGATGTTCTGATGATAAACTGTATTGCTTTTATTGTAATGCTTTTAAATTGTATTTAAAATTGTACTGCTTCTAAATCATCATTTTCTAATTGTTCCTGGTATACAAAATTATATTAGATTGGTTATCTTTATATTGACCTTATACCTAGCAACCTATTACCCATATATCTTTTATACTTTGTTATTCCCTTTAATTTTAATTGTATTATTGCACTGGCTGGAAATGTCAATACAATGTTGAATAGAAACACTGATAGTAGCCACTCTTATTCATTTCTAAACTTAAAGGAAAATTTTTCAACATTACACTATAATTTTTGCAATAAAGTTTTTCTATTGGTTTGTACCTTTTACCACACAAATAGTTTGCTTCTATTCCTATTGTATTTGAGTTTTTATCATGAATACTTGTTAAATTTTATCTAAACTTTCCTTTGCAACATTTGAGAAGATTATATGCCTTCACTTCTTTATTCTTTTAATGTGTTAATTACTGATTTTATGAATTTTTAATTAACCTTATATTCTTAGAGTGAACCCAAATGATGTATTATACTTTTCATAAATTGCTGGATTCACCTGATATTTTGTATCTATTTTCATGAAAAATATAACACTATAATTTCTTACCTGTAATATCTTTTTAATAGTTTTGTATCAAAGTTTTGCTAGCCCCATAAATTGCAAAATAATTATTTCTGTTCTCTGAAACTTTGTGAAGGACTGGTATTATTTCTTAAATATGTACTTCTTAAATGTTTGGGCAAATTCACCAGTAAAGTGATCTGGGCATGGAGAGTTTTTGGTTTTATTTTGTCTTGTTTTGTTTGTGTTTGTTTCTTAAGGGAAGAGCATTTCAAGTATAGATTCTATTTCTTTGCTATAATGTTATCCCAATTTTCTGTCTTTCCATGTGTCAATTCTGGTTTCATTTTTCTAGACATTTGACATGGTTCACTTGATTTTTTTTAAATTCACTGTCATACAGTTGCTTATCATATGCTTTTATTGTCTTTTAATGTCTGTGGAACTTAATGTCTGTAATGTCCTTTTTCATTCTGGATTTGGTTATTTGGAGAGATTGGTTCCAGGAGCCTCACGGATACCAAAATCCACAGATGTTCAAGTCCCTTATATAAAATGACACAGTATTTCCATATACCTACACACATCCTCCTGTATACTTTAAGTCACTTCTAGGTTACTTATAATACCCAATACAATGTAAATGCTATGTAAACAGTTGTAAATATAATGTAAATGCTATGTAAACAGTTGCTGGCACATGACAAATTCAAGTTTTCTTTGCTTTTTGGAACTTTCTGGAAAATTTTTTAATATTTTCAATCCATGGTTAGTTGAATCCACAGATGCAGAGGGCCAACTGTAATCTTTGTTTCTAAATCTGGGTAGGGATTTATCTGTTACTCTTCACAAACAACCAACTTTGCTGATTTTTGGTGGCTATATGATCATCTCTATCATATGTTTGTTTTCTATCTCACTAATTTGTACTCTATCTCCTATTCTCTTTCTTTTCCCTATCTTTATTTACTTTATCCCTTCTTTGGGATTAATCTGCTGTTCTTTTCTTTTAATTTTTTTAACTTCTTAGACAGATTTTCAAGCTTTTTAAAATCTTTCCTAATAAATGCATTTAAAGTTATAAATGTCCCTCCTGGCAGCATCATAATCATCTTGATTTTGATTCAAAAGTTTTAAATACTTTTATACTTTTTGTATATTTTCTAAGCAGCATAGGGCTATGTTTTATTTTTATACCCAGTCCAAAAATCTTTAGCTTTTGACTGGAATATTTGTCTCCTACATTCAGTGTAACTGGAATATTTACTTCCTCACATTTAGTATAATTATAACATATTTGGAGTTAAATATACCATCTTCCTTTATATCTGTTCCAACTTTACTTTGTTCCCTTTCTGTTCCTTTCTTGTTTTCTTCCAAATGCATTAAGTACTATTCTCATTTCTCCCTCTATTCACCTGTTGGATATACAGTGTTTTACTTTTACTTTTTGTTGTTACCTAATGATTACAATATAAATCCTTAACTATTAATGTCTACTATAAATTAGTTTTTTATCAATTCCCATATGATACAAGGACCTTAGTAATGTTGAACACTATTTACCCTTCTTCCTGATTTATGTGCTGCTATTATCATCCATTTAAATTTTGTATATATTTAAGCCTCTATTACTATTATAGTATTATATAATAAATAATCACTTAGATATACCGTTTCCATTTCTCTATTCCTTCTAGTATCTAGGATCATTTTTCTTCGACTTCAATATTTTGAAGATCTATTTAGCATTTTCTTTATTTATTTAGTGTTTGCTGTATTGCAGGTCTGCTGCTGTCAAATTCATCTTGTTTTTCTGAAAAGTCCATGTTTTCCTTTCATCTTTTAAGGGTTTTTCACTGGGTGAAGAACTTTGGACTGATGATATTTTCCTCCAGCCATTTGAAGACACCATGTCTTCTAGATTCCATTTTTTCAGTTAAAAAACCAGTTGTCAGTCTTAGTGTTGCTTCTTTAAAGAGAATATGCCTTTTTCCCCTCTGGCTGCTTTTCTCATTCTATTTGGGTTTTCATCAGTTTTACAGTGATATTTCTAAGTGTAAGTTTCTTTGTACTCACCCCCTTGGTACTCAAGGAATTTCTTCAATTTGTAGCTAGCTATCCTTTGTCACTTTTGAAAATTCTCAGTCATTTAAGACTTCAAACAGTGGTCCACATTATCTTCTCAATCCTCTTCTTCTGGACCTCAATTACATGCATGTTAGAACATTTCCACAAGTCCCTTATATTTCTTTCCCTGTTTTATTTTTCATTCTTTGTCTTTCTTTATTTCAACATGGGTATTTCCTTCTGACTCATCTTCCATTTCGTTAATCCCCCCCCAGCTGTGTCTAACCTGCTGTAAACATATCCAAAGAATTCTTAATTCATTTAATCTACTTTCTATTTCTATAATTTCCATTTCATTCCTTAGTAAAAGTTTCCAGTTGTCTGTTAATACTTTCCTACCTTATATTTTAATTCCTTGATCATAAAATCCTAATTATTTTAAAGTTTCTGTCTGAAAATGCCATTATCCTATAGGTATATTTCAAATGGCTGGGTTTTTTTCATGGCTTTTCTTTTCCTAAGCCTTATTATTTTTTATTTTGTAACAAATATTGTATATGAAATAATTTGAGGCTCTGTATGATACTGTCTTCCTCAAGAGAGGATTTACTTTTGCTCTGCCACGAGTTAGACTACGGGCAGATCACCAAAACCAATTAAAGACCATGATGATTCAAGGATAAGTTTATACTCACTCATAGGTTTAGAACTTCAGGAACCTGACTACATTGTGAAGTGTGTAACAAGACCCCTATTCCTTGGCACACCTAGAAATCCATTTTGATCCTCCATATTGATTGACGAAAGTTCTGCTCAGTTTCTCAGGCAGTTTTCAGGATTTATAATTGTCTCAAGGACAAAAGTTGTGCAAAATGCCAATCATACCTCCCTTTTCATTCTATTTCTCCTTAATCTTAACCAACAAATAGGACTGTCTTTATAGTCCTATGATGCCTTAAAAAGATGTAACTCCTAATTTTTCTCAGTGGAAATAGTAGTCCAGAATAATCCATTTCCCCATTGAAAAAGAATTTCTCTAAACACACATTTACTAATAGCTCAGCAAGGTAGCCTATCTACTAAAATATAATACTGCATTTTATTAAACTAAAAAAATGAAAATTAGGAAAGTTACCCAAAGGAAACGTCTTCATTTTTTAAATTTCATCTTCCTTTTTTTAAATAAAGTGTAAATTAGAATATATGTTTGAAAGTGACAGTGAAGAGGATAGAACAAATCACAATTTGGTGGAAAACTGTATTTCATTTAAACACATAAAGTAATTTCATATAAGTTTAAAAGAATGTTTAGTGTTTAAAAACAAAAAGGGGGTCACTTCCCAGGCCCTACAAAAGAAAATGAGTACAACAAAAATTCTATTTTAAAACTTGTATACCTAGAAAAAGCAATTCACTAAATAGAAAACACAAGTGCAAATGAACACATAAAAATATGCTTATTCACTATAGCAATCAGGGTATGCACATTAAAATATCAGTACGATACCATTCACTTCCACTGCACTGGCAAAAGGAAAATATCCTCATAATTACCAAGTGTTGGTGAGACTACGAAGAAACAAGGGCACTTATACCCTGCTGGTGGAAGTGTACATTATCACAGTGACTTGAGAAGCAATTAGGCAACGGGTAGTAAAGTTAAGGATGTGAATATCCTCACACACAGCAATTTCACTTTTAGGTATGTACCCTAGAGAAACTCTGGCATATGTGAAATGACCAGTACAAGATGTAAAACGTACTTCTGCCCAATCTACTCACCAAGTCTTAGTGTTAACTTCATACGTATAAAGGTCATCTACCAATCCATATTTGTTGCCTGGTAATGCTTTATAGCCTCCATGAACATAAATGGACTTTGTTATTTCATCATACACACTGGTATGGCCATATCCACCTTGAACAATAGCTCCTTTAGTTTCCGGAACAAGCCAAGTGTTTGATGCTGTAAGAGAAAGAAGATAAATCATGAACTCAAATAGTATTTAGAAATAAAACTAATATACCACCAAACTACCAACAAGCTCATTCTAATACCACATTTTATGAGTAAAGTATACCTAATAATTACTTAATTAAAAAAAATTATTAAATATGTGCTAGGTAGTTAAGAATCCGCCTGCCAATGCAGGGGACACAGGTTCAATCCCTGGTCTGGGAAGATCCCACATGCCACGGAGAAACTAAGCCCATGTGCCACAACTACTGAGCCTGCACTCTAGAGCCCGTGAGACACAACTATTGAGCCCACGTGCCACAACTACTGAAGCCCATGTGCCTAGAGCCCATGCTCCGCAACAAGGGAAGCCACCGCAATGAGAAGCCCGCGCACCACAACAAAGACCCAACGGAGACAAAATAAACAAATAAATAAATAAATAAATATGTGCTAGTTAGTTACTATGCTGGTGCTAGGGATTGAAGGTAAGTAAGACTGGTCATTTTGCAAATTTTAATTAAACACTGAAATATTGAAAATACCTAATTTTTGTATGTGAGAGAGAAAATGAAAACTTTATTCTCACATATATTTCTGTATTTGTAAACAAACCTGAAAAAAAAAGACTTAACAAATAGTTTATGAGAGCCTATTATGTCACAGGCTCTGAGTTTAGCCACTGATATTACAAAGACTAAAATTAAGATATGACTCTTGCCCTTAACAATTTTTAGCACTCTGCTGGTCTTTTATCTCTTGGTTATGAGTCCCACTGTCCCTTCTAAGAGTGCTTTGTATTATTGATAAAAACCTAAAAATTAAATTTCCAAGACTTGCTGACAGATGTGTTACCGTCAGGTTCCACCAATGAAAGTACTGGGGAGAGCTTAGAAGGCAAAAGGAAGAAAGATTCTGCTTTCTTCTCTAACAGAAGGAACAGGTAGGTGACTACAGTAGGTAATGGCAGTGGTGGTTTTATAACAACAGCAGCAGGGGTACCACCTGCGCAGTGGCAGCAGTAGCACCTACAGTAAGTAGCTCAATTACAAACGTGGTCCTAAGCTCCAGCCTGGGTGTGTAGCAGCTCCAGATTTCTGGGTGATCCCCTCATTTTGGTGTGTCTAGTATTTTGGTAATTAACTCCCTATATTAAGTTCCCATTCTGCTTGATATATCTAGAAGGGACTCTTATTTCTATGGCAAATTCACTAAAACAAGCCCCAATCATATGAAAGACATGTTTTTAAAAATAAGAAGATGAAAATACACATCTCCTTGGCCTTAAAAAATTTAGATTATAAAGAGCAACTCTACAGAATTCTATTATTAGTCTTTAAATATCCACCCAGACCACACTTCCATCTTCCCCCTAACTTTTCACCTCAACTTTGGCATACTAGACAACTCACTGAAAATACTCAAAGCAAATAACAGAAAATAAAGATGATACTTAAAAATCCTTCACACTTACACAATTTTAAGGTAGTGTAGAATGTGATACTTCAACAGTCATAAAAGTAGTCATAAAATAAGTATAAAGGAAGTATCAAAAAGGGTTGTTAAAGCCAATGTTACTTAGAGAAAACTAAACATATTTGAAGAAATTTCAGAGTACTCTTGTAACTAATGAGCATTACATTTTGGAAGTAATTTCCAAAGAATGAAGTTAATAATAACTTAGGAACAATTTCTTTAATATACTTCAAACACTTATTAAAGCTATATATATATATAAAGCTATATATATAGCCAAACTGAAGGTTTTCATGTTTTTATTCACTCTCTTTTTAACAAAAAAAGATAAACATACTTCTTATCAAAAAATATTGTAGCAATAAAACGTTGTATAATGCAAAAGTGAATGTTACCTTCTGCTCTAGCCCACTATCTAGAGGTATTTTTCACAAATTGTTATGTTCAGAATATTTTCAAACTATAATTCTGAATATTTTATTACAATATACAAAACAAATGTATATGACTTGCATGTACATACATACCTGTAAATATTTGTACCAAAAAATCATGCTATTTTACAACTATTTTTTCACTTAACATCTGGGACATCTTTTCAGGTCCCATTTTTCATTTTTTATCAGCTGAATTCCATTGTATTGATGATACAAAACTTATTTAAGTAACTCTATATTGTGACTCATTTAGGCTTCAATTTGTTCTTAAAAACAATGATGGCATAAACTAAAAGTTGCTCTGGATCCACTCTAACAGACCTCAGAAGCAATCCCCCAAAATGCTTACACTGGAAGCTTAACCCCATGTTAGTACAAAGTCCAACACTCTTTAAAGGAATACAGCAAAGTCCAGCAGCCAACAAGGTAAAAACATACAATGCTCAAAATGCATTAAAAAATTAACAGGCACAGAGGGCAAAGAAAATATGACCCATAACAAGAAGAAAAATCAATCAATAGAGACAGAAATAACAAAGACGACAGAATTAAAAGCTATTGTAAAAAAGCTATTGTAAATATACTCAAATATGTTCAATAATGTTACAGAAAACATGAACATGATAAGGGAAAAATGGAAGATAAAAAAGACTCAAACAGAACTCCTGGAAATGAAAAATACATTGTATAGAATTAACACAAGGTTAGATACTCTGGGAGAAAAGAACAATGAATTTAAAATATGGAAATAGAAACTATCCAAAATGAAGCACAGAAAAAAACAAACAAAAACCCTGAAAAAAAATGAACAGAATATCAGGGACCTGTATGACAATATCAAGTAGTCTAATCTACTATGATAGAAGTCCAAGAAGTGTGGTGGTAAGGTAGACAGAAATGATGTTTGAAAAACTAGTTTCTCAAATTTAATGAAATCTATAAATCCACAAAACCAAGAAGATCAATGGTATACAAGCAGGAGAAAAAAAAAGAAATAAAGAAACCCACGCCAAGGAATAGCATGAAGTGATTAAGATGCACAAGCAGAACAAAAATAAGAATGCCAGTTGACTTCTCAACAGAAAGCATGCAAGTCAGAAGACAGCGAAGTTACACTTTTAAACTACTGAGAAGGGGGAAAAAACCCATTAACCCAGAATTCTATACCAAAAAATAACTATCAGAGTAGAATTCTATATCCCACAAAATATTTTCCAAAAGTGAAAGTAAAACAAAACCTTTTTCAGATAAAGGAAAAAAAAAACCACAGAGAGAATATATTATTGCAGACTTGCCCTATAAAAAAGTGACCAAAATAAGTTCAAGCTGAATGAAAATGATACTTGAAACCAGCCAGAATCTGGATTTATAGAGATGAATGAGGAGTATAGGAAATATCTGATATGTGGGTAGATATTAAAGGTGTCATTTCTCATCTTCCCTCCCAGTACATGATAATTAAGTGTCCAAAACAAAAAGTATAACAATTTGTTATGGTCTTCATAACATATGAGATATGATATTAAAAGAGGGAAATGCAGGGATACTAGTCTGAGTTTCTGACACTATATGTGAAGTGGTAGAACATTAATTAAAGGTAGAATCTGAAAAGATAAATAAGCATATTGTAAACTCTAGAGTAACCTCTTCAAAAATAAAATTTTAAAGAACTCAATAAATTAATAGTCCTACAGATTCAAGAAGCTGAGCAAACCATGAATAGAATAAATTCAAAGAAATTCACACCACAATGAAATCGCTGAAAACTGAAAGTGCAGAAAACATCTCAGAAGCAGCTACAGAAAAATAACAAATTACCTATAAGGGAACAACAGTTAATGACTATGATTTTATCCTAAGAAACCATGCAGGACAGAAGGAAGTGCTGAAAAATAACTGTAACTATAAAAACAACTATAACTCAGGATTCTATATCTAGCAAAAATATTCTTTAGTGATGAACATAAAATGAATAGATTCTCAGATGTAAAAAAAATTAAGCTGATCCATGGCCAGCAGACCTACTCTAAAGGAAATACTAAAATAAGTTCTTCAGGCGGAAAAGACAACAGAAGGAAACTGGGACTGAAAGAGGACAATTTATCATTAGAACCAACAATTCTAATTGTGTAAACACCCAATAACACAACATCTAAATGAGTGAAACATACATGTAAAATAGATAACCAACAAGGACCTACTGTATAGCACAGGGAACTATACTCAATATTTTTTAAGAACGTATGAGGGAAAAGAATCTGAAAAAAACAGATATATATGTATACATAACTGAATCTCTTTGCTCTACCCCTGAAACTAACACAACACTGTAAATCAACTATACTTCAATTAAAATTAATTTTAATTACATATTAAAAAATTAAAAATAAGTAAATGAGTGAAGCAAAAACTAATAGAACTTAAAAATGAAATAGATATATTCACAATCATAACTGGAGGTTTCTATACTGGTTTTTCAAGAACTAAGAAAAATACTGAACAGAATATCAGTAAAGATATAGAAGACGTGAATAACTCCATCAACCATAATATAATTGGCATTTATAGAACACCCCAACCAACTAGAGCAGAATGCAGATCTTTTCAAATTCACATGTAACATTCACCAAGGTAGACCATATTCTGGGTCAGAAAATAAGACTCAAGAAAAATTTTAACTGTAAAAAACATAGTATTTGACAATAATAGAATTAAACAAGAAATAATGGCAAGAAAGATATCGGGAAAATCTTCATATATTTGAATCAAACAAAATACTACTAAACAACCCAGGAGCCAAAGGAAAAAAAAACACACACAAAAAAATAGAAAACATTTTGAACTAAACGGAAACAAAAAATGCAACATTTCAAAATGTGTGGGATACAGCTAAAGCAGTACTTAAAGCAGTCATTCTCAACAGTGGTTCCCTAAAGCATCAATTGGCATTACCTGGAAACTTTTTAAAAATGCAAATTCCCTGGCACCAATCCTGACATAATCAATAAGAAAATCAGGGATTAGGGCACAGCAATCTATTTTAATAACCTTCTAGGTGATTCCTATGCATCAAGTGTGAGAACTACTGGCTTAGAA